CTTTATTCAATTGATTTTTTAATTGATGTTTTTGCAGTATGGTAATTAACTCTAATTAGGTGTTTCTACACTTCCACAATTTATCTCTGTAACTTACATAGATACCCTCTGGAGTTCTAACTTTCTTGTTCTTCTATGTCATTATAGTTTTGAATAGGAATTTTCTCTCTTACTCTGTGCACACATACATAGCTGCAGACGTAGGCACATCATACAAAAGAGGAAGAAAATATGCATAATATATACATATATATATGCTAAGTATGTTTAGAGGGAAATTTTTCAAGTAAACACTATAATTATGCATTCCTCTTTGATGCTGCTTCATCCCTTCAAACACAGAGGGAAACTTTCCTTTTTCACTTTTTGGTACTGCGAGACCTTGAAATGATTCACATCAGTAAGAATGATAATATAGGTAGTCTAGATCATTCTTTTAATGACCGTTCCAAGTGCTGAAAAAAGTGACTTATCATTGGTTCTCGCATTTACAGCAGTCATGTGATCATGGTTTGGGCTGTTGGCAACTGTCATGCAATCGTGTGATTGCCATTTGAGACCTTCCAATCTGGTTTATGACTGTGAATGGTTCACTTAACGACCGCAACCAGGACTGCTGGAATATCACTAAGCAGGATGGTCATGTGATATTTTGCTTAACGGCCATTTTGCTTAATGATGGAGTTCCTGGTCCCAATTAGGGTAGTTAATTAAGGACTAATTGTTCTGCAAAGCTGAAACCTGCTATACTAGGACATGCCTAAAAGCAGTACGTGATGAAAAAATTTATTAGTATGTAGAAATGTAGCTCCGGGAAGACTGATTGGGCATGCATGTTATGCCTTCTGACTGAGCCAGGTGGCACAGTTCCATTTGTAAATATTGGCTTCTTGGAAAATGCACAGTCTGTAATAGGCCCATGCAGCACTTTAGATTTGATTCCAGCAAGGGCACACTCTGAAACAATTTTTTTTTGTAACCGAGTCCAGAGTGCTACACGATGTATTGTGTGATAATTTAAACGAGACAGCACATCTGGGTAATATTCAGATCCATGTTTGTGCATGAATATATGTGCATAAACACATAAACATGATTTTTAGTTATAAATGAGAAGATTCAGAACACCAAAAAGCTGAAATGCATAACCTATAGATCTGTTCTGATATCTGTTTGAATTAGAGGAAGGAGCAAGTTTGGGGGTAGTGATAAAATTTTAGAATATAATGATGAAAAAAATAAAAAAAATGTCTTTTAAGGCTTATATATCTGTTTGCTTTACCAGTTTTCTATAATAATATTATTATTATTATTAATAATAATAATAATAATAATAATAATAATAATAATAATAATAATAATAGTAAAGTTGGAAGGGACCTTGAAGGTCATCTAGTCCAACCCCCTGCTCAGGCAGGAAACCCTATACCATTTCGGACAAATGGCTGTCCAGACTCTTCTTAAAAACTTCCAGTGTTGGAGCATTCACCGCTTCTGGAGGCAGGTTGTTCCACTGGTTAATTGTTCTCACTGTCAGGAAGTTTCTCCTTAGTTCTAGGTTGCTTCTCTCCTTGATTAGTTTCCACCCGTTGCTTCTTGTCCTGCCTCNTATGCAGGTTATCTACAATGTATAAAAAGATCATCCTATGAAAGTAACCACTGGTTCTATTGATAACAGATCACACAGAACTACTTTCCATCACAGCATCATTCCATTGTCTTGCATATGTAAAGCTTTGTTAAAATCAAAAACGGAATTTGTTTTAACATTTCATTGTTCAGCATTTCCTAACATGTAAAACAGTATGAATAAAAATTAATCAAAAATGGCAACTACATGTCTCATAATATTGTTTAGAAGCCTAAACAATGAATAGCAATTCATTTTTGTGCAAAAACATCTGAGAAGGAATAGTTTCAAAATTAGATTTGGAGATAAATAATCAGGTTTCCTTAAAAATACCAGAACCTGAAGCAGAATTGAATTGAGGATGTGTAAGTGATGAGCCAACCTATCCTACCATCCCCTTTTCTACATCGTTTTGCCAAGGTACACTCCACCAGTAGAGGCCAACATCACAATACAGTACACAATCTCAGTCACTTGTTGAGATTCCAAGAAATAAAGACATGCCCCAACTACAACATACCTAAAACTTTAAGTTCCCTAATCTCTACAGAATATTTATTATTTATTAATTAAATTAAATTATATAATTAAACATAATAATAATAATAATAATAATAATAATAATAATAATAATAATAATAATAATAATAATAGTAATAGTAATAATAATGATAATAAGTAAAGTTGGAAGGGACCTTGGAGGTCATCTAGTCCAACCCCCTGCTCAGGCAGGAAATCCTATACCATTTCGGACAAATGGCTGTCCAGTCTCTTCTTAAGAACTTCCAGTGTTGGAGCATTCACCGCTTCTGGAGGCAGGTTGTTCCACTGGTTAATTATTCTAATTGTCAGGAAGTTTCTCCTTAGTTCTAGGTTGCTTCTCTCCTTGATTAGTTTCCACCCTAGTTTATGGGCCTGATTTCAGGCTCTAGCACCATAAAAGGATAGCCCTATGTTCGGAAACCTGGCATATCATCACTGTGTGTGATTTCTAAACAGATAGATACATTGATTGTTTGGGGGATGGATGGATGCACTTAGGCTTGTGGATTTCAGTCTTGAAGGAGTTGCACTTAGACATATCATGGATTTAGTTTCAGTATTAGGATGTCTGCTCGATGCTTAATATCAGTCTTCCTCACTTATTCCATGTGTTCTTATCCTTCTGGATGGGACAATATGTGTTTATGTGGTCTAGAGTTAAGGAAACAAATAAGGATTGAATTAATCCCATAGTAATGCCCCTTCCTGGGTTGGGTGGCTCTTCATGGATTCATGCCCTGGTCACTGAAGACTCAACTATTGCAAAGCACTCTATATTGGGTTGCCCATGAAAACCACTCAGAAGTTTCAACTAGTCCAGAATGCATTGGTGCAGCTAGTTGATGGGCGTGCCTCAGTATGCCCACGTGACACCGCTGTTTTACAAGCTACACCAGCTGCCTGTATTTTTCTGGAGAAATTCAAGACAATTGTCATCATCTATAATGCCCTACATGACATGGGGCCAGATTATTTGACAGACCATCCATCTCTCATGTTTTGTACCCATCTAGCAGGAGCTGGCAGATTTGGCATACTCCAAAGCCCCTTGATTAAACAATGCCACCTGGAAGTGTACTTCTGCCTTCTGGAATGCTGTGTGATTGTCACTGTATTGGCATTCTGTAAGGCCTTAAGACCTGGTTGTGGCGTGACCAAACCCCAACTTATTTTGCTTTGCATTGTGGTTTTTTGGTTTATTATATTGCGAACTGCCCAGAGTCATTTTGGAATTAAGCAAACACCTAAACTAAAGGAAACAAACATTACTGGAACTGATTATTTTGATCAGAAAACAGTGTTGGTGGGGAAAAGTTTAATCCTTTTTACCAATGTTGCATCCCACTATTCTTGCCTAGTTTAGGAAAGATGTTACTAGATTTGATGATGTCAAATCAAACCAAAGCCTTTATTAACACCTTTATATCAAAGAACAGTACAGTAAAAATACATAAACCTATAACATAAAAATACATAAAATAAATTAATAAAGTAGCATGTCTACATCTAGTTTAGCCCAGCAAAAGATAAAGACAAAAGCTTGAAATGTGTATAGAACATCTAAGATATTGTTGATAGACCTCAGACTGATAATTTGATCATTGTTTTTAATATAAATTTAATCCTTTTTACCCCGTTTACTTAGTTAATGTAGTATCATACTTACAAACAGCATTAATTTATAATATTAAAAATGGCTCCATATTTGAATTTTGATAGCATTAGGAAATTCCTTTCTTTTTTTAAAAAAAAAAGCCACTTCTTATTTCTTGTCTCCGCTTTTTTCAGTATTAAGAGAATAAACTAGCATGCTCTCAGCCTTGCAGAGTTCTCTTGGTATTGCTTTCCATTAGAAGACATTGCAGTCTATGTACCAGCATGTGTTGCTATTTCCAAAAATGTGTCTCTAATTTTGCTTTCATCCATCTTATATTAGTCTGATGACTATTTCTAAGATTGTGAGTTTAGTATGCTGAATGCAATCCAGTGTGGATACAATCCAGTCAAAAACACAGAATGTGGATACCACTTATCATGTTACCTTTCAGTTTATACAAACCGTGAGCGTGGTAGAAATCTATAGTGCGTAATTATAGCTGCAATAACATCCATGATCACTGAAGAATATGGCACAGATGAAAACCATTTATTCTTTGTCAAGTAACAAATATTGTCTTACTGTTGTAACAATCACACCAAAACATCTAAGATTGACCATATTAAATATCTAATTGTAATTCAAGGAATAATTTGCTAGACTTGATACAAAAATTATAGCAAAGCAGTTCTGTATTTATTGATAAGCATGCAGTTTGGAATACTTAGTTACTTATTACATGCACTGCTCTTTTTTATATCTCCATACATTAACATAGTTGACAATTTTTAACAGGAAGTTCAAAGATGATTTGGCATAGAAATATTCTAGTTCAAAACTGGGGCAAATGTATAATTGAATCAAAATACCTGCAGTACTTTAATCTGGATATCAAAGAAATTGTACTGGATATGTTTTACATTTTCTCCAGAGATTTAAATTGTCTAGCTGTATATAACAAAAATGCAGGGAAATTATTGTCATCAAAATATGCCATGATCATTATTCTTCAAGATAGCATTCTAAATCAGACAAAATCATTGTTTTTTTTTTTAAAAAACCGATTTTTTTAAAAAAAATGTTTTTGTACTCATTTTAAAGTTTAATAAAGCTGACTTATTAAAAGAAGTGTGGTTCAGTTAGAATAGATATGAAGTCCAGAAATGTGCAGATATTTTAAATTGGCATCACTAAAATAGATTCTAAATTTTGTTTCATTTTTTCAAACAGGTTGAAGCAATGAAGACAGCACTTCACAGTCTTAGTCTGAATATTGTAGAGATGAAAGATGATCAGGCAACCTTAGATGGAGGAGATGTTTTATTTACAGGTATAGTAAGGTTAAAAATCTTTTTAATATTTGAATTCCGCAGACAGGTTGATTATAGCATATTGACTTACTACAGTATGTGAAAATTTTCCAAACACAACATTAAATTAGAAAATTTGCTTTCCTATCATTGATATTTGACTTTCGATATAGTAAATCTTTTTCTAAGATAAAATTCGGCCTTGTATAATAGCAAGTGAAGGAGAACAAATATAATAAGCATTATTGGTATTATGTCATGTGTTACGTGTTATGTATTATGAAAGGTTAAAAAAAAGATTTCCTCTGACATTGACCTTCTTAGTTGTAACATATATTGTAAATTACAGATAATTTTCTTTGTACAATATTGGTAACATTTAGCTCTTAATGGTCTTATATAGTTTATTACAAGCAGGGAAAAGACAAAATAATAAAATGTAAAATGTTTACAAAGTGTAAAGTTTATGGCCTGAACAGGAAAGTGTAAGTAAAATCATAGCCTGATTAGGGAAAGTGGTAGTGATAAAGGATAACGAAAGAATGTTTGCAATAGCTCCATTATAACAGACTTTTGATAATTTTTGGATCTTCTAATCCATGCTGGTTTAAAGCTAAATGTATCTTTTCTGCTTTTAAGGTCGGGAATTTTTTGTGGGTCTTTCAAAGCGGACCAACCATCGTGGTGCAGAAATTCTGGCAGACACTTTTAAGGTTAGCAGATTTACAGATGTTCTTTCTGGGGATAAAAATACCCATGCAAGGTATGGGAATTTGTACAGTTCCCCACTTGAGTCTGCCTCCTGACTGGGATGGTTTCTCTCCAACATCATATAATTTATTTTAATCAGCTGGGATGTATTAAACATATTAACACACATGACCATAAGCTATTTTGATCACATGATCACGGGGGTGCAAGGATCAGTCTCAGGTCATTTTTTTCTGTGCTGTTGTAATTTTGCATGGCCACTGAATGGTTGTAAATCAAGGACTACCTATGTAATAGGCTTAATTTATAATGCGATTAATCTAAACAATTCTTTTGCAAATACCTCATTTATATACAGGATTATGCTGTCTCTACAGTCCCTGTTGCTGACTCCTTGCATTTGAAAAGTTTTTGCAGCATGGCTGGACCAAACCTCATTGCTATTGGTTCAAGTGAAGTTGCACAGAAAGCCCTCAAGGTAAACATTATGAACATTGCCTGTGTATTGTTTCTAAACAGTATTTTCTGTTAAAAAAGCAACAGTCTGTTTAGGCTGCAAGTATAAAAAGAAAATCTGGTATCCACAAACTTGAAACGAAGGGCCAAATTCAGCCTGATACGGTTCAATGCATGCTATATCAATATGCAAGTTTCTAAAATTTTAAATAAAATCACAAAATGGGGGGGACAGAGAGTTGTTTATTATTAGAATAGCAGCAAGCATGGAAAATTAATCAATCTCCCTGGTTGCAGTCATGAGGAAAAAATATTCTGACATTACAGTACTGCTCTAGGAGTAAAATCAATGGAATGCTGATTTACTTGTTTACTTACAAAATGTATTGAATACATTGCAAATTGGCTGAAGTAGAACAGATAAATACAAATAAACAAAATAAGCAAATCCAAAACATCAATAGGTGAACCAGAAAATTGCTTTCATATCACTCTATTCATATCCTTCCATTCATCCCAGGCCCGAAGCCCAAGAAAAAAATTCAGATTTTTACACCTTTCTGAATGTTCCACCATAGAAAAGCCATACTTACTAGGTCTCATCAGAGGGCATTGTTTCAGAGGTGCAGCCACCCTATTAGGCTGAGTCATGCAACAGAAAAAGCAGGAGAAGGGAATGACATGGTTGCCTTCTCATTGTAACAAAATATTGTATATCCTATGTGTGGATATACTGGAGCAGAAATTAAGTATTGGAAGTGATAACTGAAATATTATATTTTGTACTATACATAGTTTTGTTTGACATCATACTTGTACTGCAGAATCTGTGTTCATCTGCCTGTTCCCCGCATTCTGATGGTGTTAGGGATTAATGTACTCAGAACTAGGATGAATGTATCTATAAGAGTGCAGAGAAGCAAAACAAGATTGTGAAGGTCACAAAGGCTAAATCCTGTGATGAACAGTGTAAGGAACTTGATATGTTTAGCTCAAGAAGTGCAATGGGAGACAACATAATGTCTTCTGACACGTTACAGGGAGCGGATTTATTTGCGCTAAAATTAAGGGTAAGACAAAAACCATTGAGTAGAATCTTTATAGTAAGAGATCTAAACCTGAACTAAGGAGGAATTTCATGAATGTGAGAGCTATCAAGCTGCCTGAAGTTGTGGATGCTCCATCACTGGAGATGTTCAAGAAAAGACTTGGGTAGCCATTGGTTCAGAATTGTATGAGGATTACATACTTAGCACAGGATGGACTGGAAGATCTTCAAGGTCCCTTCCCATCCCTATTATTTTGTATCAATGAAAGCATTGTGTTATTGGCAATAACTGTTTTCAAAAAGTTGGTCTGCTATCTGTTCTGGGTGGCATTGCACTCTGAGGGAACAGTTGTACAGGTTGGGTTACTCCTTGATTCTATTATTATGACTAGAATTTCTAATGATCTCAGTGCTATTAGGTTGTCAACATCAGTATTTCCTGGAAAAATCTCTAAATTAGGTTACCGTAATGCGTATTTTGCTAGATGTCTTAGAAATGGCTTTAGAAGTGTATCAAATATAGGAAATTAGCTAGCCTAATATAGTGTGGAGTCCTGTTTTATCAGTTCTGAAAGATTTTCATTGGCTGCCAGTTCAGCCTAAAGGCCATTTCAAAGTATGATGCTTATTTCTGTAGCTCTAAGTGGCTTGAAATTGAAATATTTGAAATAATGCACCCTCTATCATCAGCCTGCATTTATCTGTATGGGGGGGATGAAAGCCTTCCCCATATAACAGATGAAACAGAAGCAATATTTTCATCCACAAAAAAGTAGAGGACTGTTCCCTGAAGCAACATCCCAATTTAAAATACCTTTCTAAGGAAATCAGGCTTGGCATCAGCATTTTATTGTTTGTTAAGGGCATACAATTAAATATATTGCCCTGTGGTGGTGGTGGTGGTGGTGATAGTGATGATCCATAAAATGTGGAAACAAGTTGTGTGGCAAGGAATAATGTCGTAAGGTCTGAATAATGCCCTCTTTGACTGAAAAGAATTTAGATCCAAGAATGCAAAGAGGCATTCAGATTTCACAAGAATAAGAACTAATATAGATGGCTCCATCTAGTGACTCACCAGGGTAGAGTATCCCACAGCTGGTTTTGAAAGGGCTTTCCTCCTAAGTTAAACAAATGCTCTTAAACAGAGAGGGCTGAATAGAGTTCTTCTGTATATTGACTTTTTCACAGATGCACACAAACATTTGCTTTGCCCTTTCCTTCAGCTTATACCAATGAAATATTCCATAATTTTATATGTTTATTCCTTGATGTGGTACAGATAATTCTAGACTTATGATTACAACTGAGTCCCAAATTTTCTGTTGCTAAGCAAGACAGCTGTTAAGTGAATCGCTGCAGTTGTTAAGTTAGTAACACGGGTGTTAAGTGAATCTGGCTTCCCCATTGACTTTGCTTGTCAGAAAGTCACAAAAGGTGATCACATGACCCCAGAATACTGCAACTGTCACAAATATGAGTCAGTTACCAATGGTCTGAATTTTGATCAAGTGATCATGGAGATGCTGCAATGGTCGTGTGAAAAATAGTCACGAGTCACTTTTTCTAGTGTCATTGTAACTTTGAACAGTCACTAAACAAACTGTTGTAAGTTGAGGACTACCTGTATTCTAGAACAGTATTACTGTGTAGCACAGAACTTTAAAATATGACTTAGACCTGCAGTCCCAAAGTTGAAATGTTCAGAATTTAACTTGGACTGCAGCAGACAGGTTGGCCCTTAGTTGGCAGTTTTGGAAGCTGTGGCTCCACCCACAGACAGAGAGTGCTAGGTTGGAGAAGCATGTAAAAGAATTCATGGGGGGAAGAAAGGAATCAGCATGTTCCGGACGGGGGGGGGATAGAAAGGGTCCTGCCCACTTGGAGGACGGGGGTAGAGGAAGCCGTCAAAACACTTAAAGGGACCCCCTACACGGGAGTAGGCACCTTGCCTCTAGCACGGCAGGAGCGGTGACGCGTAGCAGAAGCCGGATGCAGGCAATTGACACACACACTTTATAAGGGTTTCTCCCAGACTGCTGTTTTAACACCCTGATGATGTCAGACGGTTCTGACGAAAGCTCGGCTTATTAAATTTTTAAAAAAATTTATTCCTCTTGGTGCTCGGTTTTTATAATCCTTAATAAATTATTGAGATTCTTCTCAGACCTTGCCAAAGTTGTGAAATTTAGTTTAAAATGCCATGGAGCTTGTGGTGTTGTTATATAGCTACTATATTATCAAGGTAAAAGGAACAATAAATAGGAAATAAACAGAAAGTGCAGGAAATTACTAACTTCTCCTAACATGTAATTATGAAGAATGAGGTACTTTTGAATAGGAGTTTTCCATGCAGCTGCTGTTTGTTTCTCCTCTTCCTGAACTCTTTTTCAGAAGAATTGTTTTGATTCAACACGTTAATTGCTCTGTATAAAGCCATTGTTCTTTAATTGACTCAGTCTTGTTTGCAAATTACTTTATGTAATAAAGCTTGATAAAAGTAAACAGTGCATGGGGAAAAAGGGATATGGGTCTTGATGTCTCAGGGTTACCTCTGAGCTGAGGACAGTACACACTCAGTTGTGCAGGGATAATAGTGGGAGAAGTGTAAGTCTACATTGCCTAAGTGAAACTTGATCCAACAGTGCAATTCATACTATTTTGATGCAAAGTTGTTAAATTCCAGGAATATGTACATGGTTTATGTTCCAGAGAAATATTTGGTCAGCTACATACATGAATTATCTCAAATGAAAAATTAAGCTTATGTCTGATTTTGTGAAAGTTATGGAAGGGTAAACAATTCATGTTATAATTTAGGAAAGCTAAATATATTATGCAGCATAATCAAAATGTCTATATTCTTGGACATATCTTTATAGGTATTGGGATTGTGGTCTTAAGCAGCCATCTAGAATTCTAATAAACTTTAGGCTCAAGTAATGAGTAAGATAAATAATAGCTGTGTTAACATAACACATTTAATTCAATCATTGAGTTAAAAAGCATTTTCCTTGCCTTATTATAGAATTGTAAACCAATACTCCAAATGTGGTAATTAATGTAGGCATCCTATTCATTGGATTATGACCTGTGCTTGGGATTCAACGTTATATACAAGATTTAATGAGCACCTAGGATGCTACAGAATATTAGAATGTTTCATAACTTGATAGTCTTCCACATTCTAACCTTTTATAATTCCCTACACATGTGTAATATTCCTATTCCTTATTTTAGATTCTCACTTTGTATACTTGCAGTTTTTCATTTATATGTTTTATATCTTCTAGCTTTTTAAATTTTTTTGTTCTTGACGTATCCTTTATGTTTTTAATGAATGTACCCCACCTTCCTAATGCTGAACTATGACCGTAATACAGATTTGGTTTGATAAAGGCATTCCTCCATTCCAAAGTATTGTGGGAATGTAAAGAATTCAGGAACCTTCTTAGGTTACGCATCCTTAAGCATCTAAAGCGGAGGTGGCTGTCAACTTGGCTTACGTAAATAGGAACTTTGTTTCTCTTGTTCATTTTCCTTTGCTTTTCTGAGGATCAGTTTCCTATTTCTTCCCTTGTGCATGTTCCAAGAAACAGGATGTTCATTCTCAAAAATTTGTCAGCACAACAACAATTTTAGCCATTTCCTTGAGCCTTTTCCTGGATAGGCCTTTTCTTTTTGCAGGACTTCTTATGAAGTGGTTAATGCTGAGCTGTGACCTTGGCAAAACAGCTCAGGGCACATTAAGAGTATTGCAGAACTATTGTGTCACCAGAAAAATGCCCATTTCTGGAAAATCTAAGGAGGCAAGGAAGGAGATGAGAGGCGTATGTTAAAAAAGATATAGTAGACTTGTTAATACTCTGTCTGAATAGATGATCTAGGCAAAGAGCACAAAACTGTGTCGAGAAGTCTTCATTTTGGAAATATATACTTGCAGCTACAGATCATAAAAACAACTAGCAATATCT